AGAAGACATCAAGCATACAGACATTCCTCGGGCTTGCCCAGCATCAGACCTTAGTCTTGAAACATATAATCTACATTGGGTTAATCCCGGCATCGGACCTAAGTCCGGGATATGCTAACATACATAAATGGGCCGGAATTTGTGCCTTAGACCCGTTCTTACAAGAGAAGACTCACCTCCTACTGCTGAAGTCCCGAGGAATGTTTCGCTTATATGTTATGTGTTCCGGGCTTCGGACCGATGCGGGGGCAAGCCCGAGGAATATTTATATGTTTATGTTATGTGGTTATGATATATGCTTGTTGATATGTTATAAATCTCATGCTGCTGGCTGACAGATCCCCAAGTTGTCAACATCAAAACAAAACCCGATTAACCATTTGGGCTTCCTATGCATAACTCTAAAATCCCCACTTGGGGTATAAGGACCATTTTACACCTAACCTAGTTTAGTCCAAGATTATGGCCCAAACTCATACTCTGAAGGCCCAAAAGTCAAATAATCAACCAAGGACAAACTATGGCCCAAATTTCCAAATTGGGCCCAAACCCCTCACATGGTCTTACCTTAAGGCCCAACCATTTATTATGGTCAAAACACTTGGAAATCCAATGGTCCAATATGTCATAATCATTAAGGCCCAGTTATGGGCCACCTAAAGCCCAATCCAAATTAAGGTTTCTCAAATGAAATGACGATTAGGGTTAAATATCTTACTTAACCCATTAAGGACTTAACCCATTGAGGGCTTAATCCATTAAGTCCATCACTACATTAGACCATTCATACAATGTAGTTGGACATAAATAAAAATTCCAGTCTAATAGTCCAAAGACGGGTCCTGACAATTCCCAAACTAACATTCCCAGAATTAGGGTTTTCTAAACCGTAGTTAGGGTTTCCAACCCAATCACAAGCCAACTAAGTCCAGGATTAAGCTATTGGGCCGATTAGGGTTCCACTAGGCCGGACACCACCCACTTCCACCTCGGGCAGTGGTGGTCAGCGGCGGCTCACGACGGCAGGCGGGGACAGCCACCATTTCCCATGAAGGTGGTGGTGGTCACTGCCCAAAAATTGCATATACAACTTCACACCCATAAAGTACACACTCACACACAAAAACAGACACACACACACACACAACCACCCTTCACGGTGGCTGGTAGAGGCAAAAAACGGTGGCAAGGGGTGGAAGCCACCACCTGGAGGTGGTGGTAGTCGGTTTTCCGGCCATATATTGCACAAAAAACTCCAAGACCACAATAAACAGCATATAAATACTCAAACACATAACGTCCGGCCGCCCCCAAGCGGCTGACGTCGCCGGAATACCACATAAATGATGCCCAACGGGCGGCGACAGCCATAGTCGACATACCCGATGTCAAACCACCGAAAGGAACGAAGGAGAGGATAAAGAAAGATGGCAGATGACATTACCAGAAGCCTCTCGGTAGGTCGCGACCCATGTTGCAGCGAACACGCCCATTCGTCGGCCTTCAGCGGTTATCCAGGTAGCTCACGACGTCTCTTGCAGCGACGTTGTGGCGGCGCTCATCGGCGAAGCGGCATGCGGACGGTGGAGTTCAGCTCGACTGGCAGCGGCGGCCTAAGAGGCTCTCATGGTGGTGGCTGAAGTGGTGTACCATAAGGTTAGGGTTAGACGGTGGGGGAAGGGACACCAGGTTTAAGTCCTGTGTTCCTTCAAACTTTTGTCCATTTTACCAAGATCGGCCCCTCCACACCAGATCTTTTCAATTTAAACCCAAAACTTACCCTTTAGCCCCTACCTCCATAAAATCTTTTCAACTTCAATCCAATATTTACCATTCAGCCCCTCTCTTTAAGATTTTATTTCAATTTAAATCCAGAATTTACCAAACAACCCTCAACCTCCAAAATTCTTTACAAACTAATCCGGGAATTACATTTTAACCCCCAAACTCTCAATTATGACTTTTTAACCCCCAAAACTAGCGCCTTGCTAAATTACTCCGCATTTAGGGGTACTATTCATAAATAAATTTTTTTCTATTTATTTATTTAATAAATGAAATTTTATAATTCTCCCCACTTAAATTAGATTTCTTCCTCGAAATCATTCCTTACCATTCCCCACAATCCAAGAACCAAAGCAACGAGACCATTGCCTCAAGCATACAACAGCCTTCAAAAATCAACCGAAACCATCCTTCATAGGGTTCTAAAACCCAAAGATGAACGAAATCCTTGCATCATGATCACATTTACTCAATCTAAAATCTGCAGTCTCGAGATGGTCTGACTCCCTCACAGACCACCCATGCTGAGCTTTACAAAGCTTAATGTTCCTCGAATGACCGACCAATTGCACGCTTCCAGCCTTGATTGTCTCAATGCTACCATTAGGAACAAAATCACTAATCATAATCAACTGTAGAGCACTTATACTTGACAGAAGGCTTAGATAATCCTTCTAGTAGAAGATCCATCCCTGCAACGATTAGACTCAAACGAGAGTTGCGCAACAGGGTCAAACCAATTACTCTGAGTTTATTTAATCCAAATTGCATGTGACTTATCACTTCCCAATCAATTAGTTAGTCCGTCCGTACTTGCCACCCTAAAACACTAATACTGCCCAGACACCGAAACTTCCCGAAACACTGAATCGCCTGAAACACTGAACTGCCTGAAAAACTGAACTGCCCGAAACAGTATGTTGCCTCCTGGCTGCTTTGCGAAATCCATGGAGACCTCCCCGATCTCAATTCTTTTTTCAGTCACCTAAAATACCGGGTTCCAGCTTGGTTGCGGAGCCAAAAGACTCCCACACAGTCGCCCCACACGAGTTCCACATGAAATCCTCGTCTGTCTATAGTTGCCGTCAGTTTTCTTGCCACTATGGCTCTCACGACCTCCTAATCTAACCGATCAAGTCCATAAGTCGAGTCCTGACATCACCAAATCCAAAGCTAAAAGTGATTGCTACCAAAATAACTGTGGCCTTACATCCTGCCCGGTCTCCAACAACCTGCCGTTTTCTAATTCCAATCATGTTATGGTCTACCCACAATCTTGCGAACTGGCCCACACTGGTCTAATCATATGAAAGATTTCCTGAATGCTACGGGTCATCCCGCAGTCTCACAACACTTCCCCCACTATCTGCCAACCTCGTAGATGCTATAGCTACACCCGCAGACTTACAACACTCTATCACTATCTGCTAACCTTGTGAATGCTACAGCTACACCCACAGACTTACATTACTCGAGCACTATCTGTCACACACCCAAACCAGAACGGCGGAAACATTTGGGGGCGGAAGACGTCATGTCAAGTATCACAACATATGCATTATAGTAATCAAAGTACAAAAAACCATTGCATTAATAACATATAAGATTTTACATGAGTGTTTAAACATTACATATTCAAACATCAAAAGTAGATATAGTAAAAGACAAAAGACACAGCACAGCACTAGGCTGTTTTCTCAAAAGCTTCGGGAGTGTACCTATCTACTGGATTCCTGAGAATACAAGTTATTTTGAAAGAGAGGATCAATATTTAAGCTGGTGAGTTCATAAGTATTTTTGTTTTATAAAGTATACTCTATGTTCTTTGGAAAGTTTGCCTGTTCCTCTACAAATCCTATATTTTCTGCTTTGCAATTGATAAGTAGTTTTAATCCCCGAAAACCGTTCTGTTTAAGTATTATTGTACTTATAACAAGGTTTAACATAATTTTAACTATCCATAAAATTATAAGAAGAATGTTTTCCGTTTTGTTGGTGAAAAGTAGTTTTAATCCCATAAAACCGTTTTGTTAAGTATTTTTAAATCCCATAAAACCGTTATGTTAAGTAGTTTTAAATCCCATAAAACCGTTCTGTGAAGTAGTTTTAAATCCCATAAAACTGTTCTGTTTTGTTCGTGGAGAGTGATTAATATATTAGTATTTCTTAAAAATAAACTACTGGTGAATAACTACCCTATTATTAAACTGGTTAATTAGGGTTAAAATGTGATAAAGTTGTAACCATGCTGATAGACTAGAATAAACACGACGACCTTCCGGCGTCGAAACTGAATATGTAACATTTGTCACCCCTTGGCCTACCGACCAAACTGTAGCTAACAGTCGGGATGTGGGATTGTCAGTCCCGTATCGATCTATACACACAATGCCTGCTTTCCTTCCAGGAGACTCTGGTTACAAGAGTGTAACATACCAAGTATATTGCTATGTACTTGCTATGTCCTGAATACGTATCATCACATTTTGGTTTAAGTAAGATGGAATTATATTATTTTCTTGAGATAGTAGTTTAAACCTCGTATACCTATCTAGAAAATAGATTTCTCGTTTGATTCATAAATTATACCTATTATAATTTATACGTTCTATCTGAGTAGCATGATCTCTCATTAGTGTACTCCTTTGCTCAGCGTGATACAAAGGTAATGATACCGACTAAAGTAACCTTTTATATTCATATATGTATAATATATATAATTAAGAAGGAAACGACCTTCGGACAAATAACACCACCTTAAGTCCACATCCAAACAAGAAAAAGGAAATAAGACAATCCATTAGTCCTAAGCCCTTTAAGTGTTATTTATATACCTATATATATATATATATATATATATATATATATATATATATATGGGTTTTTGTCATAGAGACCCATCTAACTTTTACTTTATGTTTTAAAAGACCATTATTGTTTTTTTTGGTCTTTATGGACCCTCAAACTCGAAAATTACCTGTCTCTTATACCCTTTACCCTAAAATTTACCCACAATTGCCGGTTATCCATTTAGTTACTACATAGGTGGACAATGTTGTCCACGTAGATACACAGTTGGGCAAGTGACGGATCAGCTTCATTAATACGCTATTTAGAGTGCCCTAAATGAAGACAAGATATTCAAGATCATTTCCATTTTATAACATTTACTTTTCAGGTCACGAATCCATAAGAATCGATTAGCTTCTCCTTCGATGGCATACTCATCTGGATCATCATCTGATAACCACACTGTTCTCGCTACTAGGAATCGTGACAACGACCTGTGCGCTTGTCGTTATCCAAAGATAAGCGTAGAAAGGATGTCGATGTCAGATAAGAATCCAGCTCGTAGATTTCATAGCTGCGTTGACTCTTTGGTAAGCATCGTCTTCTTTAAATCTGTTGTCAAGATTGTGGAATTAGGGTTTAGCATACAATGGGGATAATCTTGAGTTTAGGGTTTACTGTTCTCGATTAAGTGGATAGTGGAACGAGCTTCTGGTGTGTGTGACTGAATATTTCGTTAGTATGTTTGTTTGTAGGTGGAGATGGCAGCTGAGAAGTGTAAATACTTCAAGTGGATCGATGATGAGCTGACACCACACTACAAGAATGCTTTCAACAATCTCAAGTATGAGTTGAAACTAATGAAAGACAGTAGTTACGTTGCAAGACTAGAGAGAAGGGTAGCTTTGCTAGAGAACCTAAATGCTGAAGCCATTGCTGCTAAAGAAATTGTTGATGGTGAGCTAGCCATGGCTGTTGAAGAAAAGAAACAACTGAGGGGTGAGTTGAAGTTCATGAGGTTGAAGTTCAGGATTGCTATGATGTTTCTTGTGCTTCTTGCTGTTGTGTTGATGATGCAGAAACCAAAGGTGGTGGGATATATATGGTTGGGGCTAAGGGATTGGGCGTAGTTAATGGTTTTTGGTGGTATAGATGCTCTCCCTTTTTGTAAACTTGGGGTTTGGGATATGAAGATCTTCTCTGGTTTTTGGTGGGTAGGATATAGATTAGTATATGTATGGATGTAAATGCCCTTGTCTGGTAAATGCCCCTATAATTTAATCAACTTTTGTATGCCCCATGTACTTTTGTATCTAATGGAAACAAGCATCTTTATTTTACTATAATTTTGTTCCACTGATTGGTCTTGTTAAGTGCAATTGAATACTGATAAAAGGCATTGGTTATTGTGGACCAAAACAATTGAATATAAAACATATCACATGGGTACAACAGACAAGTGAAAGTGATTGAGTTTGTGGACCAATACATGTAAAAGGCATTGGATAAAATGAGGACCACACATGGGATCCACATCCGGATTAAAATGACAACATTTTGGGAGGAGTGTACATTTGTGGACCGACTCAAGGATTGAATATTGATAAAATAGAACAATAAGTCATAAAGACAAATTACATAGGGTTCAAACGACAGAATTAGGGGATCCATGTGAAGTTAAGTAAAGGTTCAAAAGACACAAATGTTCCACATGCAGCAACAACATAAACTATTACATAACATAAAGGTTCAAAACATGACACATGTGTAAAGAGACAAATCCTAATCTATATCCACTGCATTTGTTGTTGAGCTGCCTTCACCATTTTTCCCATACACTGCTTTTGCAAGTTATGTTTTCAAAATTCTCTCAGAAGGCTTTCTTGTTCTAACTGCAACCCCCACTCCTCTTGCTTTCACCTATAAATAAGAAAATTACCATATTACCCTTCCATTAAATAATAAAATTACCATATTACCCTTCCATTAATAATAAATTACCATATGACCCTTCCATTAATAATACTAAAAACATTGTTAGGGGTATACTTGTACAGTTTCAAAGTACCTTTTTCTTTCGAACACCATGCACTCCACCTTCACTTCTATGTACACCACCTACAACACTGTTAATTGTTCCTTGCACACCTACTGCACCACCATTCACTGACCCTTCAACTACAGATTCCTGTACAAGGTAACATGTCAATATTTAAGATTTACATATTTGCTTTGCTAAAATGACAACATCATTTCAATATACATGTGTAGTCTTGGTTATCTTTGGTCTTTTCACCCTGAGCTTAACTGGCTTACTTGTTGTGGGGCAAGTAACCTTGTTGTGGCCACGCATATGACAAGCACTGCACACAATGGGTTTACCCTTTTTTGATACCTTATGCTTCCCTATTTTCTCTGTCACATCTCTCTTCCTTTTTGTTGCAGGTCTTCCAGGCATCCTTCTTCTTTGGGGAGGTAAGGGTGGGGTGAATGATATCTCTGGCCACATGTTACTACCATTCATAGGCAAGATATGATTCAAGTATGTTTTATTGTAGTTTGCTCTGCAGAAAATAGGATCCACATATGTGTCCACATCCCTATTCAGAAATAAGATTGTAGCAACTGAATAGGCACACCCATATCCATTTAGTTGCCATAACCTACAAGAACATGTCCTGTTGTCAAGATCCACATCATAAGCTTGACCTTCATTTCTTGTCTCAAACTTGTTTAGTCCACTTGGGAGCACTTGCCAGTACCTAGCTTCAATCTTTAAACCATTTAGTAACTGCCTTATTGCAGGACTTACATCCTTTGTCTATTTCTTGTGTTTTAAGTTAAACATCATCTCCATGATATATAACCTCAACTCCTCCAACATAGTGATTATTGGTTTCCTTCTGGCCTCAACAATTACTGCATTAAAGCTTTCAGAAATACCATTCTCCACTGCAGCACATGCCCTCCCTACCTCATAAAATGCTCTTGACCAGGTCTTTGGTTCCTTCTCCATCAAGTACTTATGGGCTTCCGGACTTAACCTTTCAATTTTTTGCATGAATTCATTGAAAGATTGTGGTGTTGTTGCATTGCAAGCCTTCCAAAAAAGGTTCTCAAAAATAGCCCCTGCAAACCTCTTCTTAAAATTTGCAACAATGTGCCTTGCACATTGTCGATGCTCAACGCAAGGAAGCACATCCTTAACTGCCTCCATAAGACCCTAGTGTTGATCAGACATTAAGGTAAACCCAGTGCCCATACCTAGTTCAAGATCATCTCTGAGCAACTCCAGAAACCACATCCAATTTTCCTTATTCTCAACACACATTATTGCCCATGCAACTGGAAATATGTGGTTGCTAGCATCTCTATCCACAACACACAATAATTCCCCATTGCATACACCCTTAAGGAAACATCCATCTATATATAACACCTTTCTACAACATTCTAACCAGCCAGATTTCACATTAGCAAAACATACATAGAACGTACTGAAGTAAGTCAAACCATCAGGCATGCATTGGACATCCATTTTGACTGTTGAACCTGGATTGCTTCTTCTAATTTTCTCCCCATAAGACCATAATTTTTCATAATGCTCAATAAGAGTCCCGTCGATAAGATTCATGGCATGTGCCTTTGCTCTTCTGCATTGACTTAAACTAACTTGAATTCCAAACTTCCTGATGACCTCCAATCTCAATTGTCTAATTGTTAACTTTTGTCTATGCAAAATTTCCTTTGTATAATGCTCTCCTATCCAAGAGTATGTGACAATTGATCCTAGTTTGTAGTTTCTAGCACAATTATGCTCAATCTTCAATGACTTGATTTGAAATGACACCTCCTGCCTCATCCATGTAGCCCATAACCTGAATGGGCAAGCTCCTTTGCAACACACCACCAACAACCTTTTACTATCATTCTTCTTGAAGCATAGTTGGTATCCATTTGCCACAGCATAGTTACATAACATATTTTTCAGCTGCTTTGGACTTTCAAATTTCATCCCAAGAACAGGTAATTGCCTCTTCCATTGCATATCAGGGTTGAAAATGGAATGGATCTCAACATCTTCTTCTTCAACTTCATTGTCACCAGTATCACCTTCTGGAGGATATAACTTACTAAGAAACTCATCCCCAGTTGTCTTGTTCAAAGGTACTTTGTCAATGTCAATTAATTCATCTTCAAGACCTACATTGGGATGGGTTTCATCAGGGGCAGTGTTTTCTTCTTTTCTTGGTACACCATCATCTTCAAGGCCACTTTCATTATCTTCACTAATAACCAGATTCATGTCATCATCCCACCATTCCTCCAACCCATTCCCATTATGATCAACATAAACTGAAATTTCCCCGTATTCATACCCGCTATCTATAAACTGGGCAAGATCCAAATCATCTATAATGGGACGAATCCCTCTAGATAAAGGGATGTTAGGTAGGCAGTAATAGACATTTTTAAACTCTTCCCCGATAGCTCTATCAATAAAATCAAAATAGTCCCTTACATCCATACCTGCCCAATCACCATCAGTGAAGAGGAACGTATTCCCACCAACATACCCAGAAGGATGTCGAACAAATACACCATTGTAGTGTAGATGAACTCTCAGATATACAGCTTCGTTATCGTTCTCAGCCATGCAACAGTGAAACAATCTTCAAAGAGTAAAATACCTTTGACAGCAGCAGTGTAATCTCATTAGTGGATACGATGGTTAAAAACCCTAGTTCAAATCTCCATTCCTCTTCTTATAAAACGACTATGGAAAATGAATTAAGATTATTTACAAGTTTTTTCCACTCTGGAATTACACATTTGGCACAATTACTAATTGACCACCTAAGTCAACGACCACATCAACTTTTTAACCGGCTAAATAAATTACGAAATCAATAAGGGTATAAGAGACAGGTAATTTTCGAGTTTGAGGGTCCATAAAGACCAAAAAAACAATAATGGTCTTTTAAAACATAAAGTAAAAGTTAGATGGGTTTCTATGACAAAAACCCTATATATATACATGATTTTGACAATTATAAGTTTAAAGAGTTATAAAAAATTTTAAAAGAGTTTAACGGTATTCTAAAAAGAGTTTATGTGACTTTTAAAACAGTTAACATGACTATAAGTTATTATGGAAGTATTTAGTAATCCTTTATTGTAAAAATAACAATTAAAAGCATAAGAAAATCTTTTATGTGAGTGATATCACATGTAATTACTAAAACAATTAGCTTGTGTTCAACTTTTATCCCCCCCTAAAAAGCATTTAAAATCATTTAAAAGGTAGATTATAGCGGTATGAACTGACCTTATGTGAGTGATTCAATTGAAGACTGGGATAAGAGTGTTACTCCTACGTGTGAAGTTTCAGAGTACAAATGAGTCCTAAATAGCATATAATGATACATATAGGCATGATATTAGTGATTATAACCACAAAGGTGTGAGGGAATTAACCTAGGATGCAAGAACAACTCACCAAAGGAGGGTTGGAAGCAAGTTAGGAGGTTGAATGAGGGTTCACGACCCTAAGGATTGATCACGGCCTAAGAACACATGAAGTGTTCACGGACCACTTGAATGATCACGGCCCAACATGAATCGTTCACGACCCAATGATGAAGGTTTGAAGGGTTCACGGCCAGAACCTTGAAGATCTTGAAGTTCTAGATGAGAAGATGATGAATCAAAATGAAAGGAAGAAGGCTTTCAAGTAACAATAAGAAGAGGTGTGAGTTACTTACACTTTTGAGGTGATAGAAGGCCCTTTTGTGGATGATACTTGAGAGAGAACTCAAGTTCACGACTGAAAGGAGTAGAAATGAATGAAAAATGAAGCAAACACCTACTTATAGAGAGGAGATCACGGCCAAGAGAGAGTTCACGACCCTAGGATGGGTTCACGGCTGTGAACCTAGTTTGCGGTCGTCAACCACTTTTGAAGGTGTTCCTAGCTAGATTCCAACTCACTGATCTCAAGTACCACTTCCTAACACTCAACCCTTGAGTGTACTTGGCTTAGAAACTCTAAAACAGACCCTTAACACAGTAAAAAGGTAACAGAAACAAGTCTGACTTTTGATAGATTAGATTGACTTATAAGATAGAGATTTCAGGTTGTCACATCATCCCCCCGTTAGAGGGAATTTCATCCCAAAATTAAGTCTAAAGGATACACTTGGACGAAGGGAAAAGATGTGGATACTTACGTTTCTGATGATCCTCACGACCCCAAGTGAATTTGGGTCCTCGTTGTGCACTTTTGAGGATTTCTACGGTATCTTACACAAATTTGAGGTTCTTGTTTACCTTGATCTAATCGAGTGGGATAACAAGAGTCTCATCTGTAACGCCCGCAGATCCGGGCTAGTCAATTTAGAGACGATGAGCATCAAAAATGAGTTTTTAATGGAATATTATTTAGAAGGATTAATCTTAAGCAAGTTGTAGTATATGTTACAAGGGTTCCATACATATAAAGAACGCTGAAATCTGATTTATAACGAAGAAGTTATGGCCCGTCGAAGTTTTACGACAAAACCGGCACGGCACCGGGAGACGTAAATAGTGAATTTACGGTAGAAGACTTTTTAGCCTTAGTTATCTAAACAAAATTTGTAGTATACGTTAAACTGAGAACATACAAAAAAAGAACGCCCAAATCTGACTTCGTATGAGGAAGTTATGAATTTTCTAAGATTTGGCACAACAGTACACGACCCGAAACTCGAATTTTAGTTCGAGCGGTTTTTGGCCTACGCGACCTAAATGAGAGTTGAAGATCTCATTAATAGGAACTCAACGGTGAAAAGACAGACGAAAACGGAGTCCGTATGTAGAAGTTATGAATTTTACGCGGACATTTAACAGTATAATCTCCTCCTACTGTTAAATTTAAGATTGGTCGAGAATTAGCCGACGAAGTCTAAATGAAAGTTATAGATCTTGTTTTTACCTACGAGTGGATATAAAGAATGTCGAGAGTAGAGCTCGTATGTTAAAGATATGGACGAAACTTGGTCCCTACTCTTCGAGCGCGATAAATTCGATACAGTTTTGTAAATCTGAGATAGAATGAGAATTAAATGACGACGTCTAAATGAAAGTTGTAGTACTCGTAAATATCAACGCGTGGGTATAAAGAATGTCAAAAATGGAGTTCGTATGAACGAGTTAGAAATTATAATAACATATTTACGTATTAAAATAAAGTATAAATCATATATACGTACACATATATATACAAATGTATATATCATTAGAAAAGGTATCGACGATGCGGTTATTATAAGACTAGTGTTGAGTACTTTCAACATTATTTTAGTACAAATATCGTTAAATCTATTTAAAATAGTATTATGAAGGGGTGTTTAGTCGTTTATATAACTATAAGGTCATTAAGTAATTATGGACGGTAGTTTTTGTAAATTCAATTACTATAAATAAGAGGCTTGGGCTCTCATATTTGTTGCACCATTCTCTTGATTCAAGAGTCTTTCTCTTCTTATCCCCCGAGCATTTCGGTCCCTCGTGATTCGACTTCTATTTCTGTAGTTTTAGTATAGTAAGGTGAGCGCTGAAGCGCTGCACGAATCTTTCTTAGAAAGATTCAGCGACGAAGTTCTGCCCCTACAGAGCCCGACTCCTACCTAAAACCCCCTTGTAAGTAAGTTATGTTTATCTATTTTAATATAGCTTATATTTAAAATTAGTATTGTTATTATGAACTTATAATAAATATTTGAGCTATTATTATGACTTATATAAGTGTCGTTATAATATCTTTTTAACTACTCGCGGTACGGGGAATCTGGTTTAAAGGGCCGCATAGGGTTGTTGGATTTCAGAAGTGCTATATGCCAAAATGGTCCTGCCCTCTGGTGTTTTATGTCTGGACCCTGTCTGTACATAGTGGTTGCAAAGTATTGTTTAAACGCTTATATAATAATAATAATAAGACTAATAATTAGTCACGGTAAATATTAGACTAAAATCTAGTGCTAATAATACTAGGTTTCGTCGAAGGAAATTATTTTAAAAGTAAACGAAGCGCTGTCCGAGTACTAAGTCACCAGCTTATCAAGTGAGTGCATAGTTACTTTCATGTGTGCATATTATCTGTATACTTGCTATCTATGCTGGATGAACAATTTTATACAAGTTTTATATGATTTAAATTGTATATGTATTTATATCTACATAATATGTTGGGTAAAACATGGGTAGATGAAATATGATTTGGATGATGAGTTGAGAGGTGATATAGACCATGACGTAAGGGTGAGAGGTGGACGATGTGAGAAGCCTTGTTCCCAAATGTTGGCCCCGTCATCTAGCAGAGTATGGATGACAACCACGGAGTATTCTAGACAGTCCAGTGGAACACTAGAAGGCTCGCAACATGTAGGTGTTGTGAACGATGTGTTCACCCGACGTACTCTAAGCCATGTAGATCATGCAGACTTGGTGCCTAAACCTTGGCGATCATGCAGACTTGGTGCCAAAACCCTGGCGACTATGCGGACTTAGTGCCTGTTGTATAAACCCTGGCGACTATGCAGACCTAGTGCCTAAACCTCGGTGATGATGGACTTCGTGCCGATTCCTTAGGATGATCCTTAGGAATGAATGAACAAGAGATAATTGATTCTTAGGGTAGATCCTTAAGAGTAAATAAGATAATGGGGATGGGTAATTGTGTTAATTGTTTGATGATTAAACATAATAATTATATTATTGTGGGTTGAAAACCCTATGTACTCACCAGGTTTCCCAACCTGACCCACTCAGTTTATTTGTGTCACATGTGTCGATATGAAGTTACTTTACACTGAGAGATTTAAAAGAGATGTAGATCACTAGTGTAAATGAATGTAAGTTCTGTTTATGCTTATGTTTCTATATTAACGATGACATCCCAAATGTTTTAAAATGAATAAAAATACATTTCTTCGGAAATGCTTTGGTAACGTATTTATCATGTTTTTCTGGGAACAAATTCCGCAAGATTTTTATTAAAAGAAGTACTCTGATTTTTATAAAGCATAAACAAAATTGGTCTTTTCTGGCCGTGAAAATGGGGATGTCACATCATCGGACAACCAGTTTTAAAGATAAAGACGTGGAAAGTAGGGTGTATATCATTGAATTCTCGAGGTAGTCGGGGTCTACAAGCTACTGGATCAACTCTAGTAAGAATCTCAAATGATCTTATGTACCTTGGATTTAGTATTCCACGCTTTCTGAAGCGTATCCTGCTCTTCCGGGTGAGACCTTCACATGGCATGGTCAACAACCTGGAATTCCAAGGATTTTCTGTTATTGTTGGCGTAGCTTTTCTAATTGACTCTGGAAGATTTACATCGCTTCCTGATTCATACTCTCTTCTCGGTAGTTTCTCAGATGAATTCCGGACTAGCGAAGGTGCCATCTGGAAATTAAACCTCTAGCTAGTTGCGTGTCACCTACTTTAATCCAGTGCAGAGAGGATCTGCACTTCCGACCATAGAAGGTTTCAAATGGAGCAACTTTAAATGCTAGCATGGTAAAGGACTCGACTAGTGGGTAACTAGGTATCCCATGCTTTACCAAATTCGATCACATATGCTCTCAGCATGACTTCAAATGCTTGAATCG